AAAAAAAAAAAAAAGATGGAAGAAGGGTTTATAAGCTAAAGCATGCAAGCAATCTCTAGAAGCTGGAAGAGGCAAAGGAGTAGATTCTCCCCTAGAACCTCCAGAAGGAATGCAGTCCTTCTAATACCTTGATTTTAGCTGAATGAAACCCATTTTGGATTTATGATCTCCAGAAATGTAAAATAATATTTTTATATGCCACTGGGTTTGTGATAATTTTTTTTAAGTTTATTTACTTATTTATTTATTTATTGTCATCTCTACACCCAATGTGAGGCTGAAACTCACAATCCTGAGATCAAGAGTCACACTCTCTTCCAACTGAACCAGCTAGGTGCCCATGATAATTTTTTACAGCAGCAACAGTAAACCAATACACTAAAGAAAAAACTTTGAAGTAAAGAGTAGTTTTATACTAAGGAGACAAGTATAAAAGTCGGTACCTGATGGGGTGGGGTCTCAATGAACGTTCCAGGTTCTTAGTTGAAAGATCTGGAGGGCTACATTCAAGAAAGAAGGGTGAACTGAAGGTAGAGGGAGCCTTGAATCAAAATTGCCACCTAACCTCAACTCTGCTTAGTACCTGACTGGATTAAGGTAAGCAGTCCGTAGTCTACCATAATGGAAAAGGAAAGCGTAAACTCTCTCTGGAAGAAAATAATGTTATCTGGAGGCTCTACAGTTTTTTTGACACAATGTCCAAGTAATTTAAACCAGGCATGCTGAGAGACAGAGTCACCTAAAGGATTATCAAGAAAAAAAAAATCAATGGAAACAGAATCACACATGATCCAGATATGAGAATCAGCAGACAATGGCTTTAAAATAACTGCTATGGGGCGTCTGGGCGGCTCAGTTGGTTGGGCCACTGCCTTCGGCTCAGGTCATGATCGCAGGGTCCCTGGATCGAGCCCCGCATCGGGCTCCCTGCTCAGCGGTGAGTCTGCTTCTCCCTCTCCCTCTGCCTGCTGCTCTCCCTGCTTGTGCTCTCCCTGTGTCAAATACATAAATAAAATCTTTGAAAAAGTAAATTAAAAAATAAAATAAATAAAATAACTGCTATGACCAAAATGTAAAAAGGGAGGAGAGAGGAAGGATGAAGAACATA